TGGACCCCCCCCCCCCGCATTCTCCGCCAAACCAGCCGCCTCCGCTTTTAGCACACCCTCCGGATGAGTCGTCGCAAATTCAGGGCCCCCCCTTACAGCCGCCGCCAAACCAGCCCCCTCCGCAAAAGCCTCCACCTTCGCTCCCCCCCCCTCCTTTCCAAGCGGTTCCGCCCCCCCCTCACGCGCCATGCGACGACTCGTGCAGCGGCAGTCTCGGCAGCGGTACAATCGTCATTTCAATCTCAACGCGTGGGCGAAACTTCGATTTCCTGGATGGGGGGTCGAGCACGCCCGCGATCAAAACCCCCGTTGCCGTCAGCACCTTCGACTTCGGAAACACCCCCCCGGCAGTGTTTACGGACGTCAGCGCGGCCGCGACTTCGTATGTCGCGGCCTCGGCGCTCGTTCTGACGCAAACCCCGGCGGATAGTTCCGGTTCCGCTCTGTTCTTTGCGCCAGATTCCGGCACGCTGGCGTTTCCGGTGTCCGGCCCGGCGCCCAGCGGATCGGTCTACATGATCTCCGGCGCCCAAGCGATGGGCTGCTCAGCGAGCGACGCGTGGCAGGCGGCCACCGGCGCCGCCGCGCGCGCGTGCACGTGGCGTGCGACGCCCGCGGGGCTCTACGCGCGCTATGACGCAGTCTCGAACACGGCTGCCACGTCAGCACTTCGCCCGGAGAACTGGGGGGGCATCTACGGGTTGTATCTCTTCAAGAAAGCGGAGGTCGTGGTGCCGAGCAGTACCGTGACGGTGGATCCCGCCAACGCGACCAGCATTCAGGGGGTCGCCGGAAGCACGGAAATGGGGGGGGTATGTGGATACGCGGCGTCAGTGTCGGGTACCGAGGGCGTCACCGGGTTCGCCGCTTATTACCCCGGGGAGATACACCCGGTCAACACGTCGCCTTCCGTTTCCGGCGAGGGCGGTTCTCGCCGGAAGCTCCTGTCAACGGAACGAACGGTGCCCGTTGCGTCTGGCCTTCTGTTTTTGAAGCAAGGGAACCGGACGTATGGGCCCGACAGCGGATCGCTTATGTTCGGGGGCGTAAGCGATGCGGGCGTAGATTCGTTCTCTCTCTCCGCATTTCAATACAACAATTGCACGCCACGACAGCTGGACAGCGTTACGGGCTTCGACGGATGCGTTTGGACTCAAGTTCCGCACAGCATCACGCTCAATTATAATGCTACGGCGCAAACTATGGTGTTGGAGAACCTCGGCAAGGGCATGTGCAATAACGTCTACATGCTCTTGAGCGTTTCCTCTGTTCCCCCGCCCCCCCCTCCCCCTCCAGCTATTACGTCGTCCCCCCCCCGGGTGAATGCGTCTGGAAGCAGCGGCGGATTCCTGGTGCCGCTGTTAGGGGCCATTGCTGGCGTGTCGGTCGTGAGCGGTCTCGTGTTTATAGCAGCAGGTGGGAGGTGCAAGTCACGTAGGGACTAATTCGCTGTCATCAGCTTTGTTGTTTTGAAATATATGGTCGGGACCAGCATGCTAGCGGCCGGCTCTATCGTACGATTGCTTTCGAATCGATTAGGCTTCAATCTATTTTACAGCTTGCTAGATTTTCAGATGGGCAACATTTAACGGTTCGTTATTTTACTAGTGTTTTACTATTTGTGAGCACTTTGGTAGATTATGATATTTGTATTATTGAACAGACTTAGTACAGGCGGCACGTCAAACTGGTGCCGCTGCGCCAGCAAATACTCCCGGCGCAAGGACGACATATATTGTCACTCCTAGATCGCAATCAGTAGGAATTTACGAACTGATATCTCACTGCTTTCGAGGTATACAATCAGCTTGGTTGCCACTGGAACTGCTCTACTGAGCGGGTGTTAACTTAAGCATTTGCGCGGCAATATTGCAAGCTATATGCTACTATAACCGCCCGGCTTCTTTGCGTGCTTAGCCGTTCATTGGCCCCGATTATTGGCTAACAGCATCACCACGTTACTCAATATGCAGACGTCTTGGCTGGCCTTTGTAAAAACGATCTGCCAAATTATGCGGACAAAACGAAGCTGGCTCCGAGCTCGGAGGCAGCGCCTGACTTGCAACACATGCGGCAACTAATCATGGTCGGATGATCGCTCCGTGGCTCTAGCCCATCATGGCATGCGCAGCTGACACAAACTGGGTACAGACTCCGCTATACTTTGAGAGCTGCGCGGCCAAAGATCGGATGCTGTGCAACACATGAATTACAGCGGTATTGAAGGTGAAGTCACTCAGTGCTGCTTGGGCCAGGTTGACGGTCGGAAACAGAACTCACTCCGACTTGTAATCATCAATGTCGGTGCCGGCACTGCCTGAATGGTTGGCTCGATCTTTCGGACAATCAAAGTAAGGTTTAATCTGGCGATCGACCAGAATGGGTCACAGTCAATGACGCTAAACTTTGACACATATCGTACTTAAATTTGTTACCTCAATCAGGCAAAACCAGCACTTAAATTGGGTCAATACTTTTAATTAACGAACAGAATTGCAGCACTCATCGTGTGTGCTCAACTATTTTCAAATCTTTGATTTGATTTCAAGGTCTCTGCAATGAAGATAGCAAGCATGTATATTCACTTCGTTGGAGGTTTCGCGTCTTCCGAGTTCAGATTTTCGAACGGTGCCGCCGCACCTGACAATCAAATCTGTTTCTCTGGCCTTTTGCCTTAATTAGCTCCCACTCAATCAGTCTTACACCGGATTCGAGGATAGCGCATATGTAGTACAATCACTCAACACGTTGTACACCGGATATCTCTGCTTTTTGTATCAAGCACAAGGTCAGAGAATCTTTATATATCTCCTAGACATATTCCGCCAATCACGTGACTGCATCCACCTGAACCCGGAAGTCAGCAGCGGAGAGCACCGCCGGAGGTTTAACGCCCACCATCTGCGCACCGCAAAAAGTAAGTGGTTGAGCGGCTTGTCAAAACAGGGTTTCCTGGCCTCTGACACGGCTGGTTATGGGCTGGATAAAAGTGGATATATGCAGTGACCACTGCAGATGTGGGCGGTAACCACTGCCAGCCATGGACACGATTAAAGTCCGTTAACCTGTCCCAAACCTGACGCTGAAGCTTGGATCGAGCTAGATTAGCAGCCAGAACTTCTGTGCAAGGGTTGCGGCGAGGTTATCATCGACCCTCGACCCTGCATATCTTCCTCGCTGGTTGAAGTAATGCCGCAATGAACATTCATTCACACCGCAGCTCTGTCTCGAGAATTGAGAAGCTTATAGCCGTCCGCTTTTGCGATCACTTCACGAGACAATGCGTCGAGGATTTGTGTCAGCAAATGGTACAACGAAGTTCCCATGATCGTAAGTGCCAGCGATCGACCCGGACAAAGGTCTGATTTCGACGATTTGTGGTTCTTAAGAGAAACAGAACGCTTCACAACGTCAGACCGGTGTAATTTCTGTGCCTTTTTGAGTCGGCCCACTGAGGCGCTCGGTCATCACGGCTGCAGTGATGTATGAACGTACTTAAGTTGATTCCTGATGTTGTCGACAGCCATTACTCCAAACAAAAGCCAAAAGGTGCAGATTCGCGCTTATCTAAAAGCTTCGACGCGTCAGACCGGTGAGAGACACCCTCACGAAGTGGGCCCAAGCGCCCGGCGATCATCGCCCACAAGTTTCAGAATGTAGTCCAAACCAACGTCCCTAGCTAGTTGCGCTGTCATTCAAAGGTGACGGGCTTCTAAAAATAGGCGACGACGATCAACGCACGCGCAAGCATCTCCTCATATAAATGAGGACAAACCACCGATAGGAAGATGATCTCCTCGCCGACGAATTGCGTCGCCTAAAACTGACAGCCTCATCCGTCGGGCCAGAAGAAGGAAAGGAAGCACCTACGATGTTGAAATTCTTGTGTGCTTCCGTCCTGCTTTTTCCAAATTCAGAGTTGACTATGAGTAGCCGGTGCGTGAGACGCGGCGTGAAAAGGGTCACGACGCACTCGAGTTGACTATGTGTGGCTAAGTTCAAAGCATCTAGGCTAGGAAACAAGCGGGGGTGAAAGTCACGCAAGTCCCGTAGAGCAGTGACCAAGTCCGTGTTACTAACAAACGGATGGTCTGCAGAGGCGTCAAGGCCTCGGCTTAATCATAGCCAAAAGATCCGGGTTTGGTTTTTCTCAAAAAAATTCGGCAGTCACAGGAAGAGGAGTACCACAATTTGTTTTGCAAACCTCCAGTCATGTCTAGGAGAAGATCGGGGCAACTTGAAGCCGCCGGCAGCAGCAACACATTCTGCCACAACTCGTCGAGAAAGATATCAAAGTGTCTTCTATATCCTCGAGGAAGTCTTGACCAAGTAAGCGCTCTTTGGGCGCGAGCGCTTTGTGCATAGAATGCCCATTCTGTTGGCATCGTCATCTGAAAACGGCGTCACTGTCATTTCTGATGATGCTCAATGCGCGCGCGGCGACGCTTCTCGTGAATGACCGGCGATGAGACACGGATTCAAGCTGGACAACTGTTTCTCGGCACCTGGCTTCAAGGCACATGGCCCAGCCATTCCTCTATCTTGGCTGCGAAGCAACTTTTGGCAGTCCGGCGGGGACGTGGCTACCTGCTGTTAGACGCCGGAAATGACATCTTGACGAATGCCTTTGCGTTCAATTCAATCAAAAGCCTCAGGAAATGCTCAGTAAGACGCTATAAAGGCGTTGTTGGCAATAAAGTTCTTTATGCAGGAAGCCCTTACTCAACGTAAAATTCCGAAGCCGTTGACAGCTAAGGGGCGTCTGGAGGGGTTGTCGCCCAGGCGGTGAGCCTTCGCAATGGCGCAGCCCACATCCACATCCATCTTTGCCAGCACTTACCGCTTTTCCGAGAACCCAATCATCCATGTCGTACGGGTGTTGGATGTGCAACAAAGGCAGGAATCACCGAGTAATAAGGGCGCTCATGACCAATGGGGATCCTGCCGAACCCGCCATAACGCTTAAAGACCACTTCCAATCTTGTCAGAGCAGCCTCTTCCTTGGTGCGACGATAAAAGTCGTCACGAGCTTTCTGAGCGCCGGTTACGATCGACAAAATTGAAGAGCCGTTTTTCGACTTCAAATACAATGCGAATTCAGCACCACTCAGTGCCCGGTCCACAGAAAGAAGAGGAATAATGGAGAGGAAAGCTTCTTTCAAGAAAGAGCCGAAAGGGAGTGGTGCTTGGAGACTGGTTGTACGCGTTTATCCCGGCCCAAAAGTCACCAGCGGATGCACCAAACTGCTTTGATCAGAAGGTACTTAGCGACGGGAGGTGGCGTCAGCGTCGAGAACATGAACGCTTTAAGCTCATTAGCAGCCCAACAACAGAACCATCTTTGCCGCAAGAGACCTCGGATTTGTCGATATCAATCAAGCTTCACAGGAGAAGAAGGGACGGTAAGGTTTGGAAGGAGACATGAGACACGATGGGCGCAATCGCGCAGCTGGAGCCAAAAGACGACATCGACAATTGAAAATTGCATGTTGCAGTTTTCGCGGCAGCTGGACTTAGCATCTGATTGGGGCTGATAAGCAGACTAGATTGCGGCCCCGCATGAAAATCCATCACTGCCCTTGACTGGGTCAGAACAACTAACAGGAACGTAATTGTACGGGTTTCCAGGGAAGAAATTTTGCGGAATTTCGGGAGAACTGCGGGCGGAGCCAAAAACTGCAAAGCTTTGCTAGAACGAGGACACACAAAAATTGAACCGAGCGGGAAAGCCGAAGTTCGCGCAGAAGTCGAAACAGGCCACAGCTTCAAGGATTGAATGGAGAAAGCTCAGATTAGGCATAGGACTGTACGTCCTCTAAAACATTCACAATTGTGTCCCAAGGTCAGCCGCACGTAACGCATAAGCCGATACTCCAACACGAGCGAGAGACATCCGTTAGCCATTCTGACGGTACGTTACTGAAAACAAAGCAGGTATAATCGTTGTGAGCGACGTTGTGCGCGGCAGAAAACCTGTAGGATGCAGTAGCCAAAAGCACATGGCAACAAACCTGGCAACGCTTACACTGATACGCTTTTCGTGTCCAGTCAGGAGAAAATGAGGTGGAGTCTACCGATACAGGTTGTTGCGCCATCCGTTACGTACTAGAAAAAGGCCCAAAGAGAAGCGTTTCGAACAGTCTACAGAAGCAAGATCGGCTTAATCGGAGAAAACGCTTAAGCTTCCACGTACACATGCAGCAGGAACTCATCGATTCTGGCAAACTCTCGAGGCTTTGAAGAGGATCCTTGCAGGTTAGAAGAGCAAAATGAGCATGGGGAAAAGGCATCAGAAGAAGCATCAGCAACCCCGGCATATCAGGCAGTGACATTGACCAAATGTGGCCTTACGGCCGTGTCGGACGCCATCATGGCCTATAGTGCCATACCAGCATAAGTGGCGGGTAATTGCGCATGCACACGTGGAGGGCTTCGCAGAGCGTTCCTGCCGCTTTGACGGCACTCAATGGGCTCTTATAGTAGATCATAAAAATCTCGTGTTGGGCACCCAATCCTTGCTGAATCATGAGCGGCCGGCAATCAAAAGATTGACAATCGAGGTCTCATTCGGAAAGCGTATAAGAAACTGCACCGATCTGTAAGACAGCACACGGTAGAGCGCCGCAACCTCAAACTGGTAGTTTGCCCGGACTCAGAATCGCGACTTCAGCATCAAGTCGCGAAGACAGGCACAGCGCCATATTTCTGAACGGCCACCCTTGATGAAGATCACGAGACTTTCAGCACACTAGGGAGTACGATGGTCGCATGCAAGAATACATTGGGGGCCAAACTCAAAATCGACTTGGCAGATGGTATACAAGAATAAGCAGCCACACCACTCCGCAAGCTCGACTCACCACCCTTCCTCAACCTGGACCTTAGCTTCACAGAGCCTTGAGGTCACGTCCATGCTGGCGTCGAGACGCATAGAGCCCCGAGCAGTGCTCGCTTCATATGACTCCGAGCTGGCACGTTGCCACGGCAAAGTGCCACGTGACAGCGTCAGGAGCCTTGTTATCCTTTAAGAGAAGTGGAAGTCGCTTGCTCGTTCGGCAAAAGGCCTTTATATTGGAGCGCACCATCATTACGTGGCCCGTCAACTTACAGCCGTTCCAACTCCAATGGCCAACCAGTACGGTATCAAGAAGTGATGAGACCGGACGATTTCCAGGCACTCACGAGAAGATGATCGGCCTTAAAGAGGCGCCGTATTCCAGCTCGGAAACAACAGATTGATTAAAAGGAATGAGATCAACAAGCCCGGTCCAAAATCTGCAAGTACTTACAATAATAGATCAGTAAACAGACTCCTCAGTTTGGAATGTGCAACAATCATTGAATCAAACGTTGACGCAGCACCGTCACCCGTTTCCCAAACCTAGACTGGACATTGGAGAACGGCCGAGGAGCCCGCACTTGTTATTGCCCGTGCTGTCATGTGCTCGAGGTGCTAGAAATATCGCCCAGTACGTGAGAAGAAAGGAAGGCATAAAATGCTTCTGGCAGCGTCAATTACCATGCGCAAAAACTTTTCATCGAAAGCGACCTTGACTAACCAAAAGACATACGTGCTGTCCAACTATGAGCTCAAATCTGCCCGGTAGACGTGAACACGCCCGTTTAAGTCAACTCTGTAGCTAAAGTCTACTCCTTCCACTTTAAGATGGTACGTCACTGCATGTCCGCTTCCTGAAACCTCAGGTTTCATTCCTAAGCACTGCCGACATTCTCTTTCTGATTGTATGCCAGATTTATCTACCTCCGAACTTGTCGAGCTTTCTTCTGTCCGCACGCCTTCCTCACTTTGCCCACCATCCCCCATTTGCAAACAACCGGCATCGTTTACCCCCATCCCGTCAGCACTGTCTGTTCTCCAATCGGCAGCGGCGATTCCGCTGTCTTCCCTCCATTCGGCAAAACTCTCGCCGGCCCCACTGTCCTCCCGTACTTTTGCTCCCTCGCCTGACACCCCGACTTCCATCCCCGCGACCTTGTCGCCGCCTATAATTTTCCCGGGCGATAAACCCGAGCGCGTTGCCACGTGCGGCGACTGCCGCTGGTCCACCGACCGGATGTCTGATGTTACCAACCCCACCTCCTTGTCGCCGCCTCTAGTTTCCCCGGGGGCTGAAGCCGGGCGCGTTGCCACGTGTAGCGACTGCCGCTGGTGTACCGACCGAATGTCCCGGGACAGCACTTGGGCGACCAGCGCCAGCAGCTCCTCGGGGCTGTCGTACAGGGACCGTTTGCCCTGCAAAGAGGTGGTTAGTCTGGGGTTAGGGTGGGTTCGGTTTCGTCAACCCTTTCATCAGGTTAAAATCCGCGGATATTCTGCGCCCGGATGTTTCGGGCCAGCACTTTAGGCGACCAGCGCAAGCAGCTCCTCTGGGCTGTCGTGCAGGAAACGTTTGCCCTGCAATAAGGTGGTTGGAAGAGGGGTCAGGGTCTTTGAGGTGGTTAGTAAGGGGGTTAGGCTCGGTTCGGGTGCGAACACGTCAAAGTTTGATATAAGGATTTTGGTTAAGGACGACAAAGAACCCTTGCCCTACCAAGAGGTGTGACAAACGAAACCTAGTTTCCGCTTCCGATTAGCTCCTCTGGGCGGTGGTCCAGGGAACGCTTGCCCTGCAGACAGGTAATCATCTTACTATCCCGGGAAGAGAAACAAAGAGGCTAGAAAGGAAAATGTCTTCAAAGGACCCAGAAATGTGTCCTCGCACCATCTCTTCCCACAGCGAATTTAGTACTTCGGCCACAACGGCAGCGAAACAAAAGTGACATCACAAAATGAGGTACGTCATCTGGCTACTCGTTCTCAATAACAAGCAATGCTGAAAACGGAAACGTGTTCGGACTGACCCAGAACGTGAGCTCTCACCACTTTCTCCCAGAGTGAGTCCAGTGCTTCCACCACGCCGGCAGCAAAACTCACGTCCGCCAAGAGAAGCGGGTCCGCTGCCCCGGACGCCTGCTCGGAAAACAAAGATCGCCTCTCGATCTAGTTCCTGGCCATGAAGCGAGCTCGTGGCATCTTTGGTCTGCTCAGGGATATTGCCGAACTTTACACCACAAACTTTGGCCGCAAGACGGACTTAAGTGCGCCCCTTCGACTCCGCAGCCTCTTCGTAGGGTGCAAGATTGCAGATCGCGACCAAGTATTAGAACCTCCAACGTGACTGGCACGCAGAACCTGAGGCTGATTGACATCGCGTGGTCTTCGCGTTGCATTCGCCTCTCCTTCGCTTTTGACATGTTGGGCTTTGCAACGGGATGGTTGTCAAACTGATGCATAGTATCGCATCCTAAATCAGCCTTTCAATCACCACAGAAGATCTCTGGCCTTGGGCCATGACTTTTTCCTGATTGGAGAGCCGCGTTGGACACGTGGAACAAAAAGGAGCGTACGGACGTCCGTACCTCAACCCAAAAAGGCGCGGACGTGCCGGGCACCGCATCGCAGTACGCCAGGTACGGCTTCACGTCCAGCACCGGCTGCAGTGAAGAAGCGTAACAGGGTTTGGAAAGGCCTGGAATTTCCAAGACTCTAAGCTGAGAACTCAAGATCTCCTTTGGCGCACGGAGCAGGACATCACATTTCAGATCCGGCACGGCTTAAAATGGGCTTCCGGTCGGCCAACTAGCGGAGGTCACAATCGGAGTGAAAGGTATCATGGGTTCTGAAGTGTGGCCTGACGTTTCCGTCGGCGTTACGATCGAGATTGAACAAGCTCTCAGCCAAAGGACGTTAGAATCAGTCACAACCGCCATATAGGAAAGATGTTTTAAGCGTTTGGGACCCAACAACCCAAAGAACGATCAAACAAACGACCTTGTCACCGAAAATAGCGTGACCAGGCAGAAGACAGCGAGCTCCGAAAGCAAAAAGCGTGTATCATAGAGCAACAAGAAGCGGGCCATTGTGAAAGTAAAGCGAGCCTTACCGACTCACCGAACCATCGACGATGTCCACTCCGGAGAGGTACAACTTCGGCCCGTCTACACGGTCAATCTGGACAGGGCCATCTGTCACCCGTTAGCAACCGGTTGAAGCAAAAGCCTGTCAATACGAGGAGATATTACAACAGGGCGCCGATGGCCTGCACTCTGAATCTTCAACGATGGCCCCTTCGAAAGGATTGATGCCCGTTTGAAGACCCGCAAAAATGCCAAAGAACAACATTTCAGTGATTGACCGAAAAATTCATTCATGAACGAACAAAGACATGGGAGTTGGCGGAAGTGATTCCTTCCAGCCTATACATGCGAGAGCCAAGCCAGATCAGATTTCGACCTGTGATTGCTTCAAGAATAACTCTTGCGTTTGTCTACTCAAACCCCCTCCCTTTCCCTGAGAGCACGCCAAGCCAACACCCAAACTCTTCTCCACTTTTATCGGGCGGTACAGTAGCATGACAATTGATGATGCTCCTGACGACACAAACGTAAAGCGCAGGTCAATCAAAAATGGCGGAACGGTTAGGCGGATGAGCTCACCTTCGCAACGCTGAGCCCGATGGGGCACGGCCGGTGGGGCGATCTTGTTGCCAGCACTCCCAGGCGGCCGCCGTTCAGCCGCGGAACTTTCACCTGCATATGAAGGCTGCGAAATTAGAGCCCGGTTGAGCGCCCACCCATAACATATAGTCGAACAGCTTCGCAATGCCACCCTTCCACGGGCTGAAGGCAGACAATCTCAGGCTAAATTCGGGCGTCAGTGTTTGAAGCGCAATGTCTGACTCGGGGATTGTCCACGATACTGACGCGGCGACGGACCACACTGTTTTAGTGTTCTGACGATAAAGGCAGGTTTGCTTCGACTGCCAAAAAAGCAGAAGAAAAGCAGCGAAGGTCGACTCAGATTGCCAGAGCAGTCAGGAGAACGACACTCCGTCACGGCTAGCTTCTTATAGAGCCTTCTTGACCTGCCGAAAACTCGTGGAACTAGCGCTGAGAACAGTTAGGCGGCCATCCAAAGTGGAACTCACACACTTGTCCGACGACGTTGCAACCCAAGTCACAATCAGTTCTCACCAAAGCAGACAGCAGGGAACGGGAGTCAAAGGTTGACAGATTTACCAAGAGAATTTTGTCGCCAAGCGTACACAATTTGGGCGCGTCGCCCAGGTTTGTCAAGCCATCCTTGGCCTCAAGCAGAAGAAACACAAGCTCAGTTTCACGCTAGCCCATGAAAAACTCACAACCTGTCGTTGCCAAATGACTGCGGTAAAGTACGACCAATCAAACAGCCAATGCAACCAAGGAAAAGCAGTTCGAGGGAACAACAAACTGCGTTTCTGCATACGAAAAGCGTATTCAGGCAGGGGAAACAGAGGACATCAACTCAAGCTTACTTAAGAATACTAGACCACGTGCTGCGGTGAGCGTGTAGCCCGTGCCCGCTTCCCTATTACACAAATCCTTGTATTACTTCAAACTTGCAAACGAAGTGATCAACGGACGGCATGTCGTTGGTAGACGCTGCTTCTGCCTGAGAGCCGCAGCGGGCGAGTCACGTACAAACGGCCATTACAAAGGGCTGGGGGCCAGCACGTGACGTCAGCATATTCTCGGTAGCCCAAGCGGTTCGTCAGACTGAAGCACCGAATACAATAACGGCGTCTGAAAAGCGCTTGGTGCAGGGATTGTTTGGGCCCTTCTAAAAGCGGCCCAACTTTCCTCGTCCTCGCCGAGATCACAAGCAAGCCCAGAACGACATGGAGCACCTTGCGAATGCACGTCTGGAAAGCTCTACTGACACAGAATTGCCTCCTTGTGCTGGCCAGATAGATGTAAAAGCCAGACACGGCGTCAAACCCAGAATTGCCTGGCCAAGTATGTTCCGGAGTCAGAGAGCGATGGACCGCGACTTCAGCCGTAAAAAAGTTCGCAGTGAATCTGTTGGGAAACCGATGCGTGAGCAGGCTAGGCTGGGCCCCTAAGTAAGGGACCCATACAGGACACAGCCACAAAATTGAGCTGTTTGACCTTGTTGAGTTGCGGTACCAACAAAGGTGGGGTAACCGAAGGAGTCCGAGCTGCTACAAGGACGGTCTGAACACAGGAAAATAAATTGCAAAACATGCACTAATAGCGAGTGCAGCGCCGACTTCAAGAGGTTGATACGGAACAAGTTGCAAAGCAGTGCAGAGAAAGCTGCCACTTCGGCTCAAGGCCGCGCTCTGCATTTGTTACTACGCCAGTTTATGATAAAAAGCGAGCGGATACCCGAAGAAAGGGGTCGGAAACGCACACGGACGAGCAGAGAAGGCCATGAGCAATACGCGGTTCAAAAACCACTGCATGTATATGAATGATCTCGGACGTTCACAACGGCATCAGCAGGCACACGTTTAAGTGCCTGGTTAACCTCCTGCAAACATACAATAAGTTCAGGGCAGTACACCCCAGGTCAACCCAACCTCCGGAGTCGTACTAGTTCTCCGCAGCGGAGGGCTCTTAACTACACGCTCTGCACGACGGAGTGACCCATACCAGCTTTCTCAACGGCGTCTGTCACAGCGACAGCGTTCAGCACGTATCCAAACACCAGATTTCATCCCTGCCGTCGGTATCCATCGTGATTTGCAATACCTATGCAGAGCCGCATGATTACTCAAGACTTGATGCGGTCTACACAGATAATTGATGTTTCCAAGGCGTCCAACCCAAGTGAGCTGGGCACGTCACCCAGAATGTGTCCAATTGTCCTTGCCTTCGAATTTTCCGCGGCCACGAGATCCTCGGGGCACAACCCGCAAGCCTACCGTTTCGAGGTTTGCGAAGCTCAGGCTTTAGAGTACAGGCACGGAGGCGCTGTAAGTGTTTCTCGAGGTGGGGCTAAGCGCGGGGTTTTGCAGCCTGCTTGCAAACCCACTATATCGGACAGCCGCAGATATAGAGCTTCCTCCAGGCCTTCTTTGGAATGCTTAAAAGTTTGTCGTTGCCAAGTACTGAAATCGCTGTCTGCCTTGCCCACCTGTTGCGATTTCCAGCAGCAAATCATCCGGTCTGAAAGTCGGTGTTCTAACGATGCCCCCTTTGCTTAAGGAACCAAAGCATTCCAAACGGCAGGGGAAAACTGAAACCAGTTTCAAGGGACTCGTCGGCTCAGTGTTTGCTCTGTAATGATCCAGCTTTTCCGACGTAACGCACCATGTCTCAGAAGGAGAGGACAAAACGACTATCCTTTTTATTGTATTAAATTCTTCACTGATTTAGCTAGGGATTTAGTCACTACAGTCGGATTTTTCAAAGAGCATCAGAGAAATGGAATAAGATGTGTGGTACAAAATTACCCTTCTCCCGTTCATCCTTGCCCACATAACATCTGAGAAAAGCCAACAAACTTCTCCATCATAAAAGGACACTTCACGAGCTTTGCGAAAGTTACGGCGGAAGCGAAAGAAACAGACCAGTTGCGTGGGGGCTCTGAGGCTTTTCCCGCAAGATGCAGCCAAGGAGCGAGCGCCGACACAAGATGTGTGGGGAAACACTCTGATGACAGGTGGCAGATTAGAAAGCTCCACACGTGTGCACTTTTGGTCTCAGTATCTTGCGGACCTGGTCAACCAAGACGTGAGCATAGCATCAGAAGATGGTAACCAAAGTGAGCACGTGGCCCAGCAAGCAATCTCGTCCCAGCCACTTTTAGAAATCTGAACAATGGGATAAATATTTACGAGAGTCGTTCTCTCGACTATAAACAGCACCGCCCATACGCCTATCGAACCAACGTTAGGGACTGGTCTCTTTATAAAAGGACGAGCCAGGTGTTGTAGCCGACTTCACAGGTGCGACTGGAGGTGCGACTGGAGGTGGAATCAGCAGGCGACCTCAAAAACCTGATTGACAGCCGGGCCGTGGGACTTAGTCCCACGACAGTACTGTAGAGACTGTGCCTGTGTTGCTAAAATGCAAGCCCAGAGGTAAGAAGCAGTGCTTGATCGATGAGATGCTGATGCAAAGCGCTTGGGTTAAACTGAAAGCGACGCGTTGAAGGGGGCAGACCCCCTTCAACCAAGGCCGGTCGCTTTCGCGTTAAAGCTTCCTTCTACACGCGTAGAATATTGCTCAAGAGTGCTCCGGGACGACAAATACGAAATCGGTGCTCACGGAACATATGCGAGCACTCTTCAGCGTCAGGAGTATCATGAACGCCCTGAGCGCATGGCCCAAGTAGAACGACTCGTCCTTGCCATCAAATTTCGTTCCGGTAAAGGGACTACCATTGCATCATGAAGAAAGGAAGAAGAGCGCTTTTGAAAGCATTTAGAGAACCTGGTTGGACCAAACACACAAGAGAATCTCAAAGCAATCAGCTCGTCTGAAAGACAACCGCTTAGATACCCATGAATAATCCACAACCGTCGAGCCCGCACAAGTAGTCAGGGACTGAATGATGCCAACCTGGAATAATGGAGCAAGCACAACGCAGGTACGGACTAGAGGAGACGTGGAAGAGATGGCAGGGCGTTGGCCTTCTCTGGCAGCCCAACCTTTGGGCTTCGGCGCCAATCGCCTAACTCGTCGTCATGGCCGTTGAGCGGGCACTCACAGCCCTGAAACTTTCAACAACCGAAGAACATTTGCGTCTACAAAGAGAGGCGCATCGCAGCATCAGAAAGGAAAAAGCAGGACTGTAACCAGGTCCCAGAGCGCAGGCATTTGACCGCCAAATTGTGCCAGCTTTTGTCGCCTCCGCACCCCTGTCATTCCTGCCGACGCCTCCTTTCCGAGAACACAATTCTAAGCAAGTCGCCAAAGCTTCCGCAACAAGTCTCGCAAAACTCTGAGGACAAGAAGGAAGGGGTGGACTTCGGAACTACGCTACAAACTGAGTGGCGGCGCAGACTAAGCAAAGAGGGGAGGGTGCGCAAAGGGGCAGCCAAAATAACTTCATTTCAGGTCGCGACTCCATGTCACAACTAATAACGTCAGGAAATAGACAAGCCCCGTATTCCGGCTGGCCGCATCAAGTCATACCTTCCAGGCCATGGACTCTTCGCTTGAAGCCCAGGTTGACAAGGAATCCTTTGCGACAAGCTCGTGCAAAGCATAGCAACATACAGAAAATGTTGCGAGGTACTTAGCGACAAGTTCGTGATTTTCCACGAACGGGATGCCACGGAACTTGCTGACAAACGAAACAAGGATTACGTTCCTCAAAGCGACCTAACAGAGAAGCGGTGCCAATTCAGGAGCTAGGACTGTTATCACGCAGTAAATTTGATCCAGTCGGCTCCGAGTCGAATTGTCCCAAGTCATCCATATGTGGGCGCCGCTGCCCAATGAACGCTTCTCGTCGTCTTTGCCTTCAACCAGGAGTCTGAGACCAAGCATTACACACGAAATGAAGAAGGAAACAGATGGAGCAGAAAGAAGGGCACCAGAGAGACGTTGGCATAACGGAGCAGCATTGAGGGTCTGGACTTCTACATACCTCGCCAGAAAATCTAGGAGGAGGGTGTGTGCTCGACGGAGGAGGCCGTTGCAAAGCAGCCCAGCTTGTGCATTTCAGAACGAGCTGACTGACATGCAAAGCACATGCGCTTTGTCGGGACCATGTGACCGGACGAGGTTCATATCCATCGGCGCTCAGCACCAGAACGGTCAACTCGTCCTGACGGATGCAGATACTAAAACGGACAAGATATCTCTCAAAATCAAACGACTAGAAACCCGACAAACTTGAAGCACCCCAACCCCTGAAACCTCCGACTAATGCCGCGAGCCAAAGTATTCTCCTTAGTTGGCCTCACCTTCGCTCTGAAGTTCTTATTGTCTGGGTCCGTCCACAGCCGCCCGAGGTCCGTGTTTTCGTGGAAGACGTACAGCACCCAGCAGTGGCTGTACTGCGCCAGGCCTTCCAGCGCCATCGCCGGCACGCCGCCAGGTGTCAGCGTCAGGCGCGCCCGCGAGAGTGGCACCAACAGCGGTTGCCGTGGGGTGCCATTCCTGGTCGGGATGTCGGATAGTGTCAGGATTCTTCGCTGAAGCAGTCAAGAATGTTCTTCAGTGTTTCTTGGTTCTTCGTATCGCACTTCTTGCATATATGATGCACACGTAAAAGACTCCGAGGGAACGATTCAGAGCAGAGGGGAAGCATGTCTAAACGAAGCCTTTGAGAGCTGACCGGATGTTTTGCAGCCAGACATTCATGCCAAACAAAGCACGACTGATTGCGCACCAGATTCTTTGTCTAAAATTCATCAACTGGAACCATTCAAGTAGTGTACGATGTGTTCTGCAAGATGACACTCATGGCCACAATTAGATAATATTGTTTCAAATTATTGCTCCGAGTCTAAAGTTCTCAGTTCAGTCTCTGCCCACTGCCCAGCCGCTCATTGCAATGTGCCTGACTTTGTAGGAGCGGCAGCTACATAGGCACACCAGATGATCCTACTAAGGGAAGTAAAGAGCTGGCGGGTCCAAAACAAGAGAGACAATGCAGATTCAGACTCATGATGAAGTAGAGGCAGGGATAAGCAGCGGGGAAAAACAGCTGAGATTCAGAAGGGGGCAATCAAAAGAAGTAAGCACAAGGACCTGTGGACAAGCAGAGACAAAGAACCGCAACCAACCTGGTGGAGAAGCACGAGCGGAGGGTGCCAATTGGGGTGAACGGGTAACTGGCAGACACTCCCTCGGTCCCAGCTGGAACGACTTTCTCTCTCAACTCCTGCAGCACCAGTGGATATCATTTCAAAGATTAGACCCTGACTAGTTTCCACCGGGTTAGTTGTAAAATGGAGAAAGAAGTCCATCTTGTCTCAGGGCGTAAAGAACAAGCTTCAAACAAGTCAAAGCCCAGCCCTGCTTTGACTAGAACGGTGTCGTCTTAGACAGCAGTTGTGTTTTGACCTGCACCTCTGCTGAATCTGCTTAAAGGAAGAGCGGTTCTTAGGAAAGAACCCTTGGAACTATGTACAAAGGGAGACAGTGGAGAGGGCATCAATACGAGTGCATGACGACACATGAGCTGCTTCGATGAGGTTGGCTTGCTTTGCAATCCTGGGGCGAAGTTGGCATAAGCTCAAAATGTGCTTTTCCTTTTAACCTTGCACTCAGCAAGGCTCCCAGCAATCCAAAAGGGAGCATAGTCCCCTATCCAAGTTCAGGTCTCATCTGAGTCCATGAGTTGCTGTAATCGGCCTGAGACCACAGTCGTACCGTCCTGTTTACAACAGCACTGGCATGCTCTTTTCAGACTTTCACAAATGATACCATACTGGCTGTAATACTTTATTACACCACTTGCGTCATCAGCTCTCATTCAACGAGCAAATTGTCCACAGTGGCAGCCTTAATACCACCAATTGCAACCAAGTGTGCCTCTTGCTGTACACTTGATGCAGGAGGTGGTGGTTCGTTCCTTGCTAAAACAACCTAGTGTGCTGCACCGCCTTTCAACAATCAAGTCTGCTCCACCACCCTTCAACCTCGTCCATCTTTCAAAATGCAACCAATCCACATGAAATTTCAGGAATGCAAGCACTCACTTAAGACTCCAAAGCAGGAAGTAATGCAAACGAAAGAAGAACAGCTACAAGAAAGAACATCCGGCTCAGCTAACTCGCCTTCTGCGCTCGAATGCGGCCCGCTCGCTCTGCCGCTCTCTCCTTTTCCTCCTTGCTCAGACGCTCCTGCAGTTGCTGCGTTCGCTTTGACAAGAGTAAAAATTGTCCCACCGCAAAAAGCGCGCTCAGAGCAGCCACCACCCACCCCGCATCACAGCTGCTGATGCTCCCTGCGCCCATTGCGCTCATCACCTTCAAACTGTTTCGACTCATGCATGAGTCATGCAAATTTATCACTATAAAGTTGAAGCTGTCGACGTAGAATCGACGGCTTACGTCGTTGCATCTTCGATCCCTGAACCGATCCATCTAACGCGCCAAATCGGCCAAATCAAACGACCACACCTAGATCTAGAGCGGAGTGGACCATGCTAGGTCCGGCCGGGCCTGAGTCTGGCTGGCACGAACTGAGTCAGAAGTGCCAGCGCCGCGGCGGTCTGGGTCACACATTCAGGCTCGCATGCAGATTGCAAGCATGCAAGAAGTCGAGGTCCAGACAATGAACATGCCGTTTAGGTAGATGTATAGCTCATCAGGATGCGAACATCCCGGCTTTTGTATACCCGTTCGTCGGCGCTTTGGCTTGAGCAAGCAGATCAACTGCAGCAATGCATTCACGTTGTTTGTATGGATCGACCCACCACCGATAAAATACCACATGGGCCGCTTGGCTAAGAACGAAACCCTTGTTGTACGTGGTAAACATGAATAAGCAACTTGCCAATCAAGCATGGCAGGCATCAGTCATGACAGAGTTGAAAGAGGGGCTTTAAACGTCACTATGCATTGGACCAACGCTGTGGACACAAATGTGTCATTCCCAACCGAAGCATGCTCGAAGGGGTCTAACCATGCCGACAAAGCTGGACCCGACAAAGGACGAATCAGACATAAGCCGAGGGTCAAAACACGACAGCTAACGACAACCTTGCTCTTCAAGACGGCAGAACGAAAGCACAAGAATCACCCCAAAAAGCAAGCACGGATTAAACGAAGATGTGAAAATGGTTTCCAACATTCCGTTGTCCCATTTCATACAATACCAACAATCTTTGAAGCATCTTACTATACAAACCACCGCACGACCGCCTCAGTAGCGGTTCCCCAACTTCTCCAGCACCCCCATAAGGTTATCCCCCTGCCGCTGCACAAGCAGCAGCATCTGCCGGCCCTGCTGTATCAGCTCATTTCCTTGCTGCACCAGCACGGCGCTCAGAGTCCTCAGTTCCTGGGTTACCTCCCCGAGCTGACGGCTATGCTCGGCCCGCTCCTGCGCCATGTCTCGCCGGAGCTGCACCACCTCTTCCCGACTCTGCATCACGAACTGCCGCAGCTGCGCATCGGTGATCTCCCCACCCCCAAGCCGTGGCAACTTGCCCCCGCCCCCGATGTCGCCTGTAGATTTCCGCTTGCCGTTTCCCCGGTTAACCCCCATTGGAAGGACCATGGGTTTTGAAGCCCCCTGGATGTGGTCATGGCTGATGTGCCCGTAGCTAAGGAAGAGGTCGTAGTATGCCGGCTTCTTCATCTGCAGACCTGACGCGGTCGTCGGCTGGCCGCCCCCTGCTGCCTCCAGGGCGTGCGTGTAGCGCTGCAAGAGCAAAGACCCGGGACTGAGAAGGAGAGGCTTCGGATGACACGCATCTTCTTGGACTTTCGGAATGAGCCGTGAAACAAAGAGGACGGAGAGGACCAACTCAGCAAAGCTTACGAAGAACGCAATGAGTTGGGGTGGCGGTTGTGTGAAAGGAGAGGCCACCGGTGACAGATAGTCTGTATGTCAAACAGTCACCCAATCTCAACCGTCACTAAACTCCCTCAGCAAGCGCGGGCACCTATTAAGAGGAACTCTCTCTTGGGGTGCTGAACGCTACACCAATGGCAGTGTTTGGACAGCAATCAGGTCAATCAGCGGCAGACATCCACTCATATCAGAAACATGCTGGAAGCCACCAACAGATATATGCAGCCCTTCTGCCATGAGCATAGGAAGGAGAGCGGTTTCAAAGTCGGATGTGACTTCCAATCTCAACAAACTTCCGCCTGATTTCCAAACAAGAGCAAGTCTTGATTGCTTCGGAACAAAACCACGAACATCTCCTGGTCTGCGTTGGAGAACCCCCACGCAAGTGCTGTGTGCATATACATTGCGGGCATGTTGGCGCACACTCTTCCAACAGAGCTTGAGGTACAACGGGCTGCAGCGATTCAATGCAGAAGTTGAACGAAAGAGTACATTGAATAATGTGGTAACAAAAACCGCAGCCTAAGAGACGACAGGAAGTCCATATGAAGAGTTGCAGATGCTAGCGGTTGACGAGCCGGAACAAAGCTCAAGATGATCAGGATGTGAAGAACAGGGTCTTCAAGGGCCACTGCGCCATGAGTGGGCCGGCGGCAGGCACAATCAATACCAAGATTGCGGTGCAGGTGCGCAAAGAAGCTTCTTTATTACCAGTCTTCAGTTGAATGCGTGGCTGGAGAAACGGTAGCGCTCTCCATTGGTGCTGCTCCTACTGAAAGTGCTAGGAACCAGTACTCCAGGCCGCCACCACGAGATGCAGACCTGCCTGCGATAGGCTGCTATGGCTGCTTGCGAAGTACAATCGCCGCTTCTGAATCCAAGCTTTCAAATCCAGTACGGCACACTTGTCAAAGAACTTAGCCTCCCACGAGATGGTATGCGGCGCCAGATTTGAGTGCAATGAGGTGCCAAAACCAGGCCAGGTTCGAAAAGCTTGAGGACAATGAGATTCATCGTGAGTGGCACTCCAGCCCCAAGCTGTTGGCGCACCATACTGCTGCAGATGAACACTGGCTTATAGATTTTGAGTATTACCTTCCACACTCTGCAGCAGCACAAGGAACTCCAGAATACCAAGCTTTGTGCAAAGCACTGCAGCAACTGCAACGGGCCTGCCAGAATGCCAACCTTGTCCTTCTTGCACTTACCAATTCAAAACTTCTTCCAAACAAGTTTGGCCGGTATGAATGTATCGTGTTGCCAACCCAACACTGCGGTCAATCAAATTGCGCGCTTCTGTGTGAAGCCTTGCCCATGCTGCCGCCTGCTAATTTTGCGGTTGTTGAGGCTAAACGGACGCCTTCAAATCATTTTTCAGCAATTTGGAAAAAGCAAACCGCAGCAAACCGTGCCAGCAGGACTTACCCTCAGCTTACCGTGACACAGAAGCTCACAAGCACAGCACGCTCAACGAAATAAAGTGACTCGGCAGAATCGCAGAGCATCCAGCAAAACTGGCACAATTGCCCTGTGCTGCTCACCAAGCACTTTTTCTTTCTGTTCCTAAAGCCCTCCGCCAGCTGCACCGGCGTCTTCTGCTCAAAGCTGCGGTCCTCCTTCACGCACGCCTCCCGGATGAGCACCCACTTCTGCGGCCCCCGGCTCGCTCCAACCTTCTGCTTGTCCATCTCCTGCTCTTTCCGCAGCAGCGTCTTGAGGCGCCGTTCCGTGAAAAATGTGTCATCGTCCCCCTCATCCCCGCCCCCGTCGTGCCCTTCCTGCCCACCTCCAAAAGGTTCTTGGTCCTCAAAGCCGGGCCCATTTGCCACCGAGACGATAAAGTCTTCCTCAGGGGGGCGGCCCTCCCCTATCAACTCGGCCATGTGGAAATCTATAGCTGCCGTGAGGGGAGACAGGGAACACGCTGAAGCCTTCCTCGCAATGCAATTGGAGCTCTGCGTGCAAGTAGCAACCACTGGCACTGGATGGAAGCTTTCCGGGTGGGGAACTCGGATTTAAGATTTTCGACTGAGCTTGCAACGAGTCACTTGGGATCATTCACAAGCGTGCCCAAAGTCTCGTCTTGCCTTTCAAACTTTTGTTGCGGACCGCGAAGTTGCTAACAGCGGCAAGGTTCGGCCAGGAGAAAGGGGAGATAGCAGACACAAGTGACACCTACGTTATCCTAGGGCTATGGCTACAAAAGAGGCAGACAAGATGAGGCGCCCAGAAAATTTGCTAGGAGACAGAGGAGGAGAGAGGAAGACAGCCACAAGCGAGATCTCGTTGGCCCTGGGTCGAGAAAGCTACCTGGGTACGATTGATGAACTCAACGGTCGAACGGTCGAAATCAGACGTGTAGAAGCAGACTTGGAGTTCATCCTACGGTCTAGAGAGGATACGTTGAAGCTTGGACGGATGACATTCCTGGCTTTGTGAACTTTGAGAGACGTCGATGGGCCAACCACTAAGACTCTTGGCGCCTACGATTCTTCCACGATATCAAAGGTAAGTATCTACGGCTCATCCGAAATATGCAAGAATCGTATGCCGTCCGATGCAATGTCTTACGACTTCAGACGTCCGAAGTTCTGCTCAGCAGCAAGCCAGAGCTGCAAACCTGAAAATGCAATGCAGCGTTGTACCCATTGTGAGAAAGAAAAGAGCTGAGCTGAGAAGTGGGCAGGAGATGGGGGAAAGACGCTCTTGAGCCTTGAGGTTGATGTGGCTCTTGTAGATACCTGGTAGGTATCTGAGGTCCCAGGACACGGTTCCAGGGGAGGTAGGTTTGGGCCTGTAGAGTGTCCTTTTACAAAGCTGCACATAAGAACAACATCAGGACCCTGCATTGCAACAAAAAAGCGTCCTGGAGGGCGCTGCCAGTCACACAGTCAATTAGGGAGGTGAGGTAGGATGGCACTTTCTGCGGCGGCAGCAAGCGTGAGCGCTCCGGTGTCCACCGCAGGGGCATCCAGAAACTTTTCGCAGTTCCAGGGGTTGCGGCCTACCACCCCAGCCCAGATAGCTTCTAGACCCACTTACCAGGTGCACTGTAGACGAGTTGTCGCTCCCAGGGCGCTCGATGTAGATTCGGGGACGGTGAGACCTGCATTGTCTTTCCTGCTTCTCTTTCTGAATGCATGCATCTTCCCAATGTTTGCATTAGTTACACAGATCGTGGACCAATGGTAGGCGCTGGTGGCATTGTGGCGCCAGTTGCTTTTCTGAGGCGCCACTCTGTGAGCTGTTGCAGGCGCTTCCAAACCCTGTTTTGAACGATAATTTGCCACCTTTGTTGCCCTGTAAGCCTGTTATCATTCTCTCTGCATTCGAAGGGGCTTTGGCCAGCTGAGTCGGTCATCTACTCTACCTAGTCTGCGTTGATTGTGCCTGCATCAGACTTTGGTAATGGTGAACTCTTCATGAGTGCACGCCGTGCTGCCAAGGCTTGTATGTGAAGCATTGAAGCGCTTATGTGAAGCCTGGACGATAATCCGGAGCAAAAGCGCTTCCGCAGTTGGAGCTCCCAAATCATGGGTAGCTGCATTCTTGGCACATCGGTTGCTATGTGCACAATGACTTCAGGCGGTGCATTTCGTGGCTATATATTCCGCAAGGGTTGGCATAATGTCTTCCGGTCGTATACCATCCGGAATGCATATAAGTTCAAAGATTGGATTCTCTTTGCAGGCCATAGGAGTTGCTGCTGCCATTGCGGGCCTGGCAGCCGGGATTGCAATCCCCGTCTTTTATGAGATACAAGTCAAAGGAGCGGTGAGTTGTTGTCCTTCTCGTCAGGGGTTTATTTCTTTTCGTCCCTTACTTCGCTCTCTTTGGAAGCTGGCAATATGATAGAAGAGTTGTTCTGGGGTTAATAATCCGCTCACAGCTTCACGTACACCACTTGTCAGCTGAATGCATTTTGGCCGAGCGGTTTGTTGAGTAAGAATGACGTATGCAGCCTGCCTACCCCAAAATTGTTGAAAGATGCATATGGAGAGTGAGCGAGTAATGAGTAAACTTCTTGCCAGCTTGAGATTCATGAAGCGTGGGACCCCCTTGCGATCTCGTACTTGACCCCAGGCTCTGTCTAGATTTCTCTTCAACGGAGGATCGAATTCAGAAAGCGTTTGCCCTGCTCAAAGTCGGATTGGTGCAACATCCTGGACGAAAGTGCTGAAAGTTGCCGCCTGACGTGTGATGCTTTTCGTGGCCCCTGCAGTCATCAAGGGAGAATGACCAACCATGCTTTCCCTGCAAAGGAACCGGTTCACGTAAGCTTCCACTGTTTGCATCTTGGTCCAGAAGTGCCTCTAGGCTAAGATAGCTTTTCACCCTAGGATGGGGTCACTTTCAATCCACTTTGACAGGCCAGTTCTAATACTTACGAAACACAGGCGCTTATTACGAAGGCCGGAAGCAGACTGGCTTTCCGTGCTGCTGGCCGTGTTCCTCCCTTTCCGGTTGGAGTTATCAAAGATTACTCAATGTCCTATGCCAAGCACAACGCAGCTTCACCCGTCCGTCACCATTCCAAACCGCTCCTGCTTCTTGGACTTTCTTGTTCAGGATGTAGAGTAGACAAGCTTGATTGATTTAAGTGGAAGGGGCAGCAAACGTTTTGGAACACTCAAAATTGGGAAAGAGGGCGTCAGATTCTTTCTCCCTGTGTCTTCCCAGCCTAGCGTTCGCGTCTCTTGCTCTTTCAACGGCCCCACTGGCCTTTGATCTGCCACTTTACTCTCGTATTCGCCGTAGTGTGTGTCCAGATGACCATGCTTTGCTTGCATGGTATAGCAAAGTCCCAGTCCTTGAGCAGAAACAATGGTAACACAAATCCCTGGCGTGCAGTACTTTGCCGGTTCTGCCAAGGTCAGGGTGTGATTGTCGTGGACCTCGGAATGGGGGCCAAAGAGGAGTCCCAGTGCATCAACTGCGAGGGGAATGGCTCCGTGACTTGTACAACATGCAATGGGAGCGGGGTGCAGCCTCGTTACCTAGACCGCAGGTAAGTCGCCCGCTCCATCCATGTGAACGATCACACAAGAAAGCCGAACCGGAAAAATGTGCCATTTGCATCCCCCATCTTGCTGTTGTGCAGAATGCATGGACACGCGGGGGAATTTGGATGGAAGTAAGGTCGACAAAAGAACGCATATGGGGACACTACGATCATCTGGTGCTTCATGACAGTAAAAGTACATGCTAAAGTTGCTAAGAGGCTTGCAGGTTTTTGATAAGGTTCGAATGACTCGAAGTAGGCCATGCGTGTCTGCCAACCCTTATCAAAGCCTCAACATTGGATTTTGTCGTGAAAGAAGGACTAGAGGAATCTGCATTTCAAGACCTCTCATACCGGTGCCCAAAGTGTTTTCGTGTAACTCCGACCCGGACATTCAGCACGCTCTGAGCAGATTTCCCGTTTGCTGTCGGTTGCGGTAGTCATCCAGGTATCGTAATCAAACGTAATGACCACGAGTATGCAGTTGCTGGCAGCCATGTGCCCTATCGTCCGACAACGGAGTCTCAAAAGTCGTCAAATGTTTTTCGGACAGGGACGTTCAAACCCTTTGCTTGGGTGGTATGATGGTATTGACAATCAGGCTCACCCTACCTTCCGGACGCTACAAGGATACATCAACAGTGATGGTTGCACGATGGAAGCATCCTATCCTTGAGCACATCACTGTGGAACCACAAGAGTGCCCGATCCGGATCCCCTAACAACGTGCTGATCGATTTGTCTAACTCTCCTTGCAGGGAGTTCCGTGATGACGATTAGCTTGTTACAATTCCTCGCAACTACAAGCACGTGGACAGTCGGTCTGCTGGAGAGTTGGTATCCATAGGAACAAGAGCAATAAGAAAAAGCGTGGAATTTTGCACCTCACCACGAACCCAATTCCAAGTCATGATGCACATGTGTGTGTATGTTCTCCCTGATGCTCCTCCTATGTAGTGCCTTCTGTTCGTTGTTAAATCTTTGTGACATGCGGCCTTTGGTATCATCGCGCAACTAAATCATTGGTGGGCGGGAATCTGATATGGAATTCGGCAGAGCGTTCCCAATGGATACGTGAGGCATCCAAAGACAAATACTTTTACGACAATTATGGTAACGACATCGGATTCCAAACATGCGGAAAAGTGTCATCATCATCTCCTCGAAGGATAAGCATGCAAGCGTATCACCATGCTGCAGACTGTGATTGGCAGAAATCCCGAGTCAAATCTACATACCCACAATTTTAAAGAAACCTGCGAGCTACAAGCAATCTAGCATCTTGATTGCATGGGAGTTGCTTTC